TTCTCAGTGAAAAAATTATTGTCCATGCATAATGGACTTCAGTCAATAATATTGATGATTTCTCCGATAGATACTAAATGATTTATTAATAGAAACTATTTAACTTACTATATTCTAAGGTTGGTGTATGCGATAGACTTATTTCTATGGGGGCACTCTAGGCATCGTATACTCATTCGAAATTGTCTGTTAAGCGGCAGTTGACTTCTGACTTCAAACTATCCTGATAATACTGAATGTCATATTCGACCATGTCCATGATACTACTTCATATTATCTTTTCTCTACCTTTGTCTGCCTCTTATTTTCTACCCCCCCCCCCTCCTCCTCGACTTTTTGCGATTGATATCCCTCAACTCGGTGAAGTCCGAGATCAACCAAAGGGCTAATGATAGTTTGATATAAATAAATATTCTATACTTTATAGAAATACATAAGATACAAGTTCTATTAAGACCTGCATGTCTATTGCTTAGTCATCAATAAAAGGCTAAATGAATAAATTAACAGATCTCGATAATTTTCATGCTTTTGATGTCTTCAGGTTTTTAGGAGTATTAATACCACAAAATTTTCAATTAAAATTTATCACAGGAAAATGCATTTGGTCATTATAGAGCCATGTAATTCCAAAAATATTCTCTCGAACTACAAGGTATTTGAACTTATCGTTATGAAAATGACAAGTTACTTTCAATTTTTTGAAAAGATATAACATAATTTAAAAAAAAAACAAAAACACATTTTGTTGACATGATAATTTTATAATTACTTTTTAAAAATTACAGCATTAAAAACTTCACCGTATTTGTTACATTAGTTGATGGGTCGTTGTAACCTTCGAGAAGTTTTAATGTATCGGATGTGGCACTTTTCGCGTTCTAATAGACTACTAGCTATTTGGTTCGATCTTGAAGGAGTTTGATACGATATAAGTTTTCGAATAGTTTTGCCAAAGATGTCAACTGATAAGCCTGAATTAGAAAAGCGAAAGCAGATTAGTGTTCGTGGAATTGCTGAAATTGAAAATGTTGCTAATTTAAAAATGGCTTTCAATCGACATCTCCATTTCGACATTGTCAAGGATAGAAATGTTGCCACTCCCCGTGATTTCTATTTCGCCCTTGCTAAAACCGTTTGGGATCATCTTTGCTCCCGTTGGATTCGTACTCAGCAGGCCTATTTTCGTGAAGATCCCAAGGTTTTAATTAAACCTTATCACAATATTGTTTCATAAACATTTCTAAAACCTTTTTTTATTTCTAGCGTGTGTATTATCTGTCGTTAGAATTCTATATGGGAAGAGCCTTGACAAATACGATGTTAAATGTAGACATTACTGCTGCAATTGACGAGGCTCTGTATCAAGTATGTTTCAAATTTTATGTTTTCGATTTCAACTGTTGGTCCTTTGCAAATCTACTATATTTTCCATTAGATGGGTCTTGATATTGAAGAATTAGAGGAATTTGAACCTGACGCTGGCCTTGGAAACGGTGGCCTAGGACGTCTAGCTGCCTGTTTCCTTGACTCTATGGCAACTCTTGGTCTTGCTGCTTACGGATATGGTATTCGCTATGACTACGGTATCTTTGAACAGGCTGTCCATAACGGTTGGCAAATTGAAAAGCCCGATGAATGGTTGCGATATGGGAACCCTTGGGAAAAAGGTCGCCCTGAATATTGCTATCCAGTTAATTTCTATGGAAATTTGGAGAGAGACGGAGACGGAAAATTTATGTGGGTTAACGCTCAAACAGTTTTTGCAATGCCATACGATACTCCGATCCCTGGTTACCGCAATAATACTTGTAACACCCTCCGTCTGTGGTCTGCCAAGGCCCCATCTGGTTTCGATCTTCAAATTTTCAACACCGGTGCCTACATTGATGTACGTTCTATAAGATTTTGAACATGGAGTTATGTATACAAATGTTTATCGATTTTGTCATGTTTAGGCTGTCTTTGATCGCAATACTGCTGAAAACATTTCTCGTGTGCTATATCCAAATGATAATTTCTTTGAGGGCAAGGAACTTAGACTGAAACAAGAATATTTCCTTGTTGCTGCCACTCTTCAGGTATAGTTCCGATCCTTCAATTTCTGAATGATAATTTTAAGTGCGCTGTGTGTATTTGCCCTTTTTGTTTTAATTGCCAGGACATAATTAGGCGATATCGCGTGACCGAGCATGGTTCAAGGTCTTTGGATAATTTCGCCGATAAAGTTGCAATTCAGCTGAATGATACGCATCCATCTTTTGCCATTCCTGAACTTATGCGAATTCTCACTGATGTTGAAGGAATGCACTGGGATAAGGTGGGAAATTTTAAACTTATGATTCAATCCGGCTTTCATAATATCTTAACGTTTCTTATTAATTATACTATAAACTGTTTTGTGGATATGAATAATAACTCCTTATTTAATATTTAAATATCATTGACTATCACGTTATCTGTTTTGCTTGATGCTTTTTCATTTTTGGATATCCTTCCACTTATACTTCCCTCTCAGCCAAAATTGATTTGCAGTAAAAATTGTATGCTCAAGTCTTAATTGGAAATATAATCGATTTTATTGAAAAATGCTGCCGCATTGAATTAAACTATATTGTTTCGGACGTGACTTATTAGGAGATGTGTTCAAATAAAACACACAAGTATCTGGACTCATCATTTTTTAATAATTTTGTTTATGTTCATCCAATCTCAGTACTGTCAAATGCGCACAAAAAATCCTAATACAAGCTACTTATACAACTTCATAAGTAATATCTATTTTTTACAGGCCTGGAAGATTAGCTGTGACACCTTCGCCTACACCAACCACACAGTTCTTCCCGAAGCATTGGAACGCTGGCCAATTAGCATGTTGCAATATATTCTTCCACGTCATTTGGAAATCATCTATCACATCAATCAGGATTTCCTTGACGTAAGTTATCGATCTTATTTACGGGAGTTCCTAACCACTTCGAAACTTCTAGGAAATTTAAAGGATATCTGTAGAAATGATAAATCTATGAAATATCTATTTCATAATCTTCCCCATTAATCAGTGATGCAATGCTTCAAGATACCATGCGAATTCTAATGAATTCCACTACGTTATGCCACTTGATCTAGTAAAGTCCACTAGTATCTTGGCTATTGCAAGAAAAAAACTCAATTTTTCATTGTGAATTGACACTTCTAACAATACTTTTGAACGTAGTTAATTCTTCTACATTCAAAAAAATTTGAAGTCTAATTCCGACCAAGAAAGGTCAAATGATTGCATTTGAAATTAATGTCTGAAACCATTAACAACCACATATCTCAAGATTTAGATATTAACTGACGGAAAGGCTATTTGAAGGAGCAGAAATCCTAAACAAAATTGGATTCTATATTAAAATCCAAATTAATATATGAAAATTCACTCTATTTACTTTGTCCCCTTCCTTAGAAAGTATTCAATAAAGAGGTATGCGCCATGTTCCAACGTTGCCCCTTTAATAGGACTTCTTTTAAGATATAATAATATTTGCAAGTTTTCTAACTTTGGATGAAGCATTTAGTCAGTTCAATCATTACATTTCCACTCAGAATTTCTAACATAAAAGTTTCATACCGGGAAAGCCTCTTCATAGTTACATTAATGCGTGTACTATGCAAATTTCCACGTATATACCGATAAAAAGGCAATTGATCGAAAGATTTTACTAAAAGCAAAGTGTGGCTTTACGTTTAAAAGAAAAGAATAGTTAAATTGTCTGAAAATCAAGCGTTTTTTTACTATTTTGACTTGCTAATTCATAGCTAATGCTTACAAAATGGCCAGGCGATATTGACCGCATGCGTCGTATGTCAATTATTGAGGAGGATGGTGAAAAGCGTGTCAATATGGCCTATCTATGTGTCATCGGCTCCCACGCAGTGAACGGCGTTTCTCAAGTTCATTCAGAGATCATTAAAAAAGACATGTATGTTAGTTAAATAAAGATATAATATCTTACTAGTAAGTCTCATATAAGTGTTTTCTGTCTTCTTTCAGCTTCAAGGATTTCTACGAAATGTGGCCAGAGAAGTTCCAGAACAAGACAAATGGAATTACACCTCGTCGTTGGCTCCTTCTCTGCAATCCTTCACTTTCAGATGAAATAATGGAAGCCCTTGGGGATAATAGCTGGATCACTAACTTTGAACGTCTAAAGGACCTCCGAGTCATGGAAGGCAATTGTGATTTTCTTCGAAGCCTGATGAGAATTAAACGAATAAATAAAGAGAAGTTTACAGCCTACATGGAACAGCATTATGGAATCGAGATTGATCCTTCTACACTTTTCGATTTCCAAGTGCGGTCATTGTTCCTATAAGTTTTTATTAAACTTACTTTACACTAACCGCAATTTCATTTTAATTTAGGTAAAGAGAATTCACGAATACAAACGCCAATTGTTAAACTGTTTCTATGTGATCGCTATGTACAACAAGATCAAGGCAAATCCGGATATTAAGGTGGTGCCTCGTACTGTCATGATTGGGGGTAAAGCCGCCCCGGGTTACCACATGGCTAAGCAGATAATCAAACTGATCAATTCCGTTGGAAAAGTCGTTAATAACGACCCAGTCATTGCTGGAAGACTCAAAGTTAGTTTCCATATCCATTCAATAATCTATATCGAATTTTTGATCTATATGGACATATAAGTTCGACATGCTTAGTCACTAGAGTTATTTTCAATCTCGTTGAAATGCCTGAGATATGATGAATAATATTAAATATATCACAGCTGCTTCTAAATCTTAGAAATCTTTAGAGACTCATATACAAATCCTCCCCAACATTCAATTATCATAATCGCATATCAAAGATTTCTGGCAAAAATGCACTATTACTTATATAAAATTCTTGCAACTAAGTTGCAAAATTATTATTAAGAAAATTTAAATTATTGATGATTTTTTTATCATTTTAAAAGTTATAATATTGTTTGACTGTGCTAAATTACTTGATCGTTACTTTGACCTAACTTTGGAGTAATGCCTAACTTTAATGCTTTCATGTATTTTTGGGATTTTTGGCTACTTAAGGAAGCAAGTAAGATGAAAAGATTGTCCAAATATTTCAAATCTATAAATTCAGCAAATATCTACTAAAGTGGAAGCATTCAACTTTAATGTCTGTTCGTGTTTGAAAATTAAAATATCATGAAGTTGAAGCCTCTTTTCAAACTGGATCGAAACCCATTTGTCCTGTAATTAGTAAAGACCTCAGGTAAAGCGTTGAATTATTTTGGTCAATTAAATCTAAAAGCAGTGCTGCATTATTTTCAAACAAATGTACTGCTATTTTATATTTTCGTTGAGATAGCTTATTTTCTTGGAGAATTATCGTGTCTCGCTAGCCGAAAGGATCTTTCCCGCAGCAGAACTTTCTCAGCAAATCTCGACCGCTGGGACTGAAGCTTCGGGAACTGGCAACATGAAGTTCATGGTATGTTTCAGCAACTATATAATAGCTTCTTGAATAATCATAGAATTTCCCCCTAGATTTTAAAAGTGAAAGACAGCTTGCTACTTATTTAAAATGACTAATTTTAGAAGTTTCTCTTGAGTAACTTTGGTACTCGTTCTATAAATGTTTGCATAAATGAGTTTCCCTGAAGGGAAAAGTTCGTTCAAGTGAACATTTAAAAGCATGTCAAAATGACCGAACTCTGTGGATTTATTCCTAGGTCAATGGTGCTCTTACCATTGGTACTATGGACGGAGCCAACATTGAAATGTGCGAGGAATGTGGACGAGAAAACATGTTTATCTTTGGTATGACTGTTGATCAGGTCGAGGAACTCAAACGCAAAGGGTGGGTCTACTTAACTAATTTTCAGCATTTGTCACCCTGAGTTCACGTTTAATATTCGCATTTTTAATTGTAGATATGATTCAAAAGTGTTTATCGACGCATGTCCCGAACTCCAGCTTATCCTTTCCCAGATTGAGAGTGGTTACTTCTCACCGGATCAACCAGATCGTTTCAAGGATATTGTAGATACAATGAAATATGGTGACCGATTCATGGTTTGCGCCGACTTTGCTGATTATCTCAGATGCCAAGATGAAGTTGATAAGGCCTACTTGGTAAGTTTAGTAGAGCATACATATTAATAAAAAGTAAGTTGAGGGTGCTAAACTAAGGAAGTGTGGAAGTTATAAATATTAATAATATATTATTAATATATATTAATATTAAAATATTAATATTAAAACTGACTATTAATCACGTCAGATATCTGAATGAAAGAATGTGAAAAGAAGGTGGAAAATGGTCGAAAATGGTGGAGACAATTACTATTTTACCTTCCAATGATTCTAATCATTTAAGAAGTGAAAAATGTACTAAAATTATGAATCCTAAGCCGATATCTTTTAAATACAGTTATTTTGAAGATGAATTATTAAAATAAAGACACGTTTCACAAGACTATGAAACGTATTAAAGCCATATTTTATAGTCTCCCATTATTCATTGAGACAGTCTATTTAAAAGTACCTTGCCATTACTATTATACCCTTCATCTATAAAATAGACTTAGAACAATGAGGGTATAAGAGTGATTAAATAATTCATTTACATTGTGAAATGTGGGAATAATCTTGATCATTTTGGATTTGCCAGTGTATTAGAACAAACAAACAGTAGTCAAGGTAGAACTGGAATTGTTGCATTAGAATTGTCAGAGCATAGTTCTAACGCGGGTATATATTTCTCGTTTCTAGAATCAAACCAAATGGGCTAAGATGATGCTGGCTAATATTGCTGGTTCATGGAAGTTCTCCTCTGATCGTACTATCCGAGAATACGCCAAAGACATATGGGGAGTGGAACCACGCGTGGAGAAGATGCCCGCGCCTTTCGAAAATCCCCATGTCTATGGAAAGTAGACCTCCTTCTTGAGCTACCTTCTTTCAAAGTCTTTGCCATGACAATATCAAATTCTTTCGTTTGTCATCCTCGTTGATAAAATGTCAATGTCTCTTCACTAATTCCAGTTCCAGCTTCTAGTTCTGGGTAATACGCACATGCATGCATCTTGAAACAATGATAATAAAATGCATTAAATTGGCCTTATTTAGCAGATTTTTTCTATAATTTTGAAAGAAAAAATCAATAAGGATTTTGGAAAGACCATTAGCTTTGGGTTCTGGTTTTTTGCCTAGATTGCATATTCGACTTTCTACCAGTATTCAATGCTGAAATCTGACAGAGTGTAAAAGCGATTTTCTGACAACAGATTTATTAATTTTAAATTCCGAAGCGAGATGGAGGTGGACCCAATTAGGAAGGGAGGAGTTTGAGAAGTTGGTATCTGTGAGGCCCGTGAAGATATTATCGAGAGTTGCTGATAATGGCAGTGTGATGCTTTGACAGGTTTGAAAATTCTCTCACTTCTTCATAACTAATTGTATTATTGAATGTCTTCTCGCTGGAAGAAAAATTTGGCCAATGGCATTGACGATATTTCCAAGCTAACTTTGGGTAAGGCCTGACCCGAATCGATATATATTGGATTAACCAGATAAATCAGAACACTGCATGCTGGTAGGATACATATGAGCTCCAGTGGAATAGCTTCTACCAACATCAATGGTTATGAAAACGGCTGAATATCTAACCGTTATTAGTCACCTTAATGTAGAAACACGGCACTACTGTTGTGGTATGATAATGGTGCTCATCAGGTATTAATAAACTGCGGTCGACTCAATTAGTATAGAGAGAATGCAAAATGCCTTTTCGATTTCACATATTGCTTATAGTTTAGGAAGGCGTGATTTAAAAAAAACACTTATTGAAGACATCTCAGATCAAAGGGGTAAATTTTAAGTGAGTATGAATACAAAATGAGGTTGTTTCAAATGAATTAGAATCTTGAAGAAGCTGCAAATTAGTCAGTTCTCCTTATTTTTGTTACTGAGTAGTCTTCTCTCTACAACAAAAAGCAATATTCCTGCCTCCAAAGTCTGGATGCATGATCGAATACTTTTGAGACATTGTGATCTTGGTCTAATTGGATTCCTCCCTTAGGTCATAATTGCATTTTTTTAGTTAATTGAAATGGAGGTCCTTAATGATACCCAGCATCGAAATCACGTCATAATTGATCTTTCGCTACACTCTTTATAAAAATTCGCGGGGTGTGCGATAGACTTACCTCCACGTGGTGCACCCTGGACAACGTATACTCATGCGGCAAAAAGTCTATTTACCACCAGTCGACTTCTGATTTCGAACTACCATCACTCCACTGTATGTCAAATTCCACCACTTTCACACTACTCGCCTTAACCTACTCTCTACCTTTGTGTCTGTCTCTTTTATATCTTTGAATCACTCTTTTGTCTCCCCCCCCCCCAGACTTTTTTCACTTTGATGTTCCTCCTCCTCCTCTCTGTGAAGCCTGAAGTCAACTAAATGACTAATGATAACTATCAAAACGTTTGCCATTTGATATAAATACATAATTATAAAAATTCGCTGACCTTTTGCATTTATGTCCCTACGACCGAAAGGTTTCTCAATTGTCGTTTTCCTTTTACACCCCCCCCCCTCCCCCCTCCTGTTTGATCTAAAGCTCATCTACACTCGAACCTCTCATCCACCCCCCGTTCAAGCGTATCGTGTGGAACAATCTTTGTATTTCCACTTACACTCATCTCCTCACCCTCAACTCAGTCGCCTCGGCTCTCTCTCTCTCTCTTAAACCCATATCGGAGTTTATTCAATACACTTTGACCTTCTCAATTCTTTGCTCCCTAATATCTTTTGCAGAATGTTGATTTTATGGTCTTTGTTTCTGGTTTGGTGGCTCCCAATTTGGCAAGCTCGGATCTTCTGTTGCTATTACTTCCACACGCTTTATGCGTATTAAAGTGGGGTGTGCGATAGACTTACCTCCACGTGGTGCACCCTGGGCAACGTATACTCATACGGCAAAAAGGCAGTTGACTTCCGACTTCAAACTACCCTCACCCCACTGTATGTCATACTCGACTACTTCCACAGTACTCACCTCAACTTTTTTCTACCTTTTCTACCTTCGTCTTTGAAACACTCTTCTGTTCCTCCCCTCCTCTCCACTCTTTTTCACTTTGATGTTCCTTCGCCTCTGTGAAGCCTGAAGTCAACTAAAGAGCTAATGATAACCTTCAAAACGCCTGCTATTTGATATAAATAAATAAATACGTATTAAAGCGCGTCAAAAATCCTATTTCATGAATTATTTTCGTAATCCATTTCTTCAATTGCTTAAATAAAAACACTTTATCAACTCAAACCTCCTGAATTAATTGGGTTGAAAATATCTCAGTTTGCATGAACTATGCTCGAATTCTTGGTCCTGACATCAATTGTCTTTGTGAAGAAATATCTACTCTAGTCGAATAACTTTATCTGTCACGCCACCTCCAATATCAGGCAACCGATCCAATCTTAAGTGCCATGACACGATTCCCAAGTGTCATCCAACAATTTAATTTAAATACTAAGTCCTTGGGTAAGAAAATTGTAATTTTTTCAGTTTTCGCATAGAAATGGTGGTCTGGGTCGAATGAAATTGGAATGTAAGCGAGCAACACAAGGTGTATTCACAAAAAAGTGTCTCCTTTTGTGCTATGGTAATATTCCCTTCCTGGCCAATGTTTCCACCTTTCTCAGAAATCGACAAAGCCGGAGATCATGAATTTGATCTCCATCCTCATATGAGATTGTGTTTAGCAGAAAATCTGTGTTGGTAAAATTCGAGTGTCTTGCTGATGAGACTAACGCGTTACCACTCTGTTAGGCATGAGCGGTTGTAAAGGCTTTCTTAAATGAGTCTTATTGTTAGCAGACGGGATATCTATAACCATATTTAGGGTACAATTCAGGGTTCATCAAATTGTTCAACTTATTATGTCTTACCAGAATCTCTTACCTCGGCATTATTTGGCAATTCCATTGGTGGTGCTGTGTGTGTGTGCGTGTGTCATATCAGCTCAATGGCTAGCGAGCAAAAATTTCCTAGATAACACAAAAAATCACTCGTTGTTAAGTCTTAGGAACACTTTCATTAAGGTGGTTCGAATCATCTTCCCAATATCCCTAGCACACTTTATTTCGGACAATTTGGACCCCCCCCCCCCCTCCTCTCCTCTCTCCTCCCCCAAACCTCCATTTCAATCCAATCTTCAAATTGACCTTTTGGATAATGAATAAAAGATGCATTTGCCTAGAAAGTAGTTTCATGAAGAAGAAGGAAACGATTCTGCCTTACCTTAAGGAAAAATGAGTGCCATTACGACAAGCCCCACAAGGGGCACCTACAGTTACTTAGCATACAGCCCAACCGGATTCGTTAGTTTCTGAAATTAACAGAATGTTACATGGTACTGTGAAATTCACTGTAACTTTTCCTACTTGTAGGGATAATCACTAAGACATAACATTCGTTAGTCACTAAGTGCAAATTATGTGGAATAATACAAGGAACTATACATTTGGTACACAGTAAATCTTCACCGACAAATGCAAAATTTACGAGCATTAGTCCACAAATTTTTGTGGAGACATTTTGTATGATCTTCGTATTGGTCAAGACGCTGAATGTCTTCCAATAGAGGGGCTTTGAATTCTCCACTGTACGCATCTCTGTAGAGAACAGTTTCGAAGTGGGCGTCTTTCGGTTGTACTTTAAGATGGAGGCGAAGTGTGGAGGAGGCAGGTTTAATGTCAAATTTATTAAACATTGGAATTCGGCCATCACGATCTGCTGAACCCCGATAACGGACCACGTCATGTGGTAGTCGTGACAATTCGGCCGATATTATCTAGGGGGGGGGGATTAATTTTTAAGGAATCTCTTGTGGAAAATCGCATATTATAAAAATTGCACCACACTCGTGCAGCATCACACACACAAAGGAGACTAATCCAGACTTTAAATTGGTAGAAGCTGTTTCCAGGAATAACGACCTTCGCCGAAAATCTAGCGACTAAATTTAAATGAAACTTTGTCGAGGCGAAAAAAAAAACGGGAAACATTTAATAGGTTATTTGACCCTATTGCTTTCATTATTTTGTCAGCAATTTATAAAAAAATGTCGAAAAAACGGAGAAAGCACAGTAGTCATGAAAATCAATCAAGCTGTTCATGATGATGATGATGATGAATAGGTAGAACCTCATTGGGTTGATAGAATTTGGCATTGATTGAAATGTCATGGATTCAACTTTTTCAAGCGGTATAATTAAATTCCATATGGTCTGAAGTGAATGATTTGCTCAAGTAGAGCTAGATTAAAAATACTGTAAGTGCATTACGAGAAATTAAGAACAAAATGCAACCAGTCTATTACTAGACTTTTGATGTCAATCAAATAAACTGGGGAATTTTATTAGCGTAACATTTACCTGCTCTTGCCAACTGCTCTAATTTCCATAAATTCTTCAGCAAGGAAGACTCTTTGCATGCCATGTAGCCGTTGAAATATATACGGAGAAGTCTTTGGCCTTTTGCAAACTTATCAAGGTGAAACACTCAACAACAACAACAATTCTTGCCTCTCGACGTTCGAGGCTTTGTCTCAAAGAAATTCGGCCAGGAAAATAAGAGGTTCTTTTACAAATTGCCCTAACAGAGAAAGTTCCAAAATAACAAAGCTCGAATTCCTCAGGTTGGACTAAAAGCTGCCAATCATCTTTATCCAATTTGGCACGCGCGTCACCTCTCCCATTTTGGATACATTTTGACCTCCAAAGATTGATACTATGATCACAACCTGTATCTCGGAACTAAGTCAACTGTAGCCCAGGTAAATAGATCAAAGTGAGAAGGAACTAGACTTTCTAGGACTTGTTGTCACGCCAGTGCTTTGAAAGTTAACGTTTCTTCTATTTAGCGCCT